GTAGCCAACAGACGCTGTCCAAGGAATTTTGAATAGCTTGAGGGCACCTTGTGGATTACTCGGAAGGCCTCTCGGGCATCCACGCGATGGTCGGAGTCTACGAGGGGTGCTAGAATGTAACTGAGTATACCCTTTATTTGGCTCTTTCCGAACCATGCTGGAATGTGTTCTCGTACACTTTTGGACAAACGCCGGCTCGTGCGACCAATATATTCTGTTTCAAGGGAACAGTTAAATGAATAGATGTACATAGAGGTGGTCTGGGCTGGCATTTTGTCCTTGCTTTCCCTGTTAGGATAGGAATAATCGAGAAAAGCGCATGGGTGTTGACTGCCGGAAATGTGTTTGATACAGCTAGACTAAGGCGCCTTCTCAGAAGTTCGCTTGGCGCGTTGCCTTGAAATGGGGCCCTGATAAAAATTTGTTCTTTTCTGCACAGTTAGCACAGAGAGATTTTCTCAAAAGTTTATTAGAAATTTACGGCAAGAAAGGGCTACCAAATTTCGTTAATTATAATATAAATAGACAAGCCTTAAAACAATTTATCGAAAGCAAGCGAATGCTCGTCAATTTATATGTAGAATTTCGCAACTTAAAAACGATCTTAAATGCGATTTTTTCCGAATTTTTCATTTAGTAATCAACCGGAGCATGTTTTAAAAATGTATACTCGAACAGAGCACAACCCCCTGTATAAATCGAAATGCTTCGATTTGATCAAATGCATCGGCAGAGGACGACCGTTAATCGCGTTATCTACTTTCGAATGTCCGTTGACCTTCGTTAGAACTAACAAGCTGCTTCATCCCTCCCCACAGACTAACTCGTGCTGGGGCAAAATTGGCGTGAAAAGTCTGCTCATCGAGAAAGTCGTGCCTCTGCCCTCCCCCCTTCTTGATTGCGACGGAAGCGTTCAAGGCGCAATCAACAGGTCCCTCAGGGATTTGTTAGCGTTGTTCGTAAATTAGGCTACTACACTTGGCCCGAACTCTAATTTTCCTCGAGCCTGACAGCGTCTGTCTGAGCCCAAAATAAGCTCACATCTAAAACTTTCTTGTTGCTATTTGTGATCGACGCGGTTGATTTATCCACTGTTTATCATTAGTATTTCAGTTGAATTTATTTGAGGGAAATGTAGGTGTCTACCCTTGAACTCCCCATTTGTGTACATGCGTGTTGTAACATAAAAAAATACTACCTCAGCTTCTTGGCAATGCCAGTTGACATGAGCCAATATGGGTGAGCAATGAAAAAAGAGAGCAGACCGTGAAAAGTACTCCTTGGGATTTTTTAGGCGAAAAAGCTGTCAGTCCTGGTGTTGGGGTAGAATGCTAGTCCGAAAAGGGGAGCGGATTGCAGAGGTCACGTGGATCATCATTGAAGCCTATAACGATGATGATGATGATGATGATGATGATGATGATGATGATGTTGATGATGGTGATGATGATGATGATAATGATGATGAGTATGATGATGATGATGATGATGATGATGAGGAGGACATAATAATAATAATAATAATAATAATAATAATAATATGATGATGATGATGATGTACTAGGTCAGACAGTTCACTGATGCATGCGAGAAGGAAAAGGTAGGAAGGACCGATGATGATGATGATGATGATGATGATGATGATGATGATGATGATGATGATGCCTCTGCAGAGTGCCAATCTCATGAAATTTCAACCTAAAATTCTGAAATGTGTTTTTGACATGAAAACAATTACTGGCAAAAGTAGCTTATGTAGGCCCACTCATATACC